ACTAAGAAATGTGTTCATTCTTCTGGCCATTCACAGTACATTAAACATTCTTCACCAACACCATAATCAATATATAATCATTCTTCTCTCTATCTTATTCATGAGCCACCATGCATATGAGGTGAATGAAAAAGCCATGGCTTGGGGCAGGTGCACTTAATTTTCACAGTGATACTTCATATTTTTTTACATTTTAAAGAGGTCATTTGCCACAGCTTTGTCTGATTCAATAAACATGTCATTTGATTTCATGATTTCTCTTTCCATGCATGTTTATTTTAATGGAAGAATATTAATAGTCTTTATCATTGATAATGGACATTAGGAAAATAAAATCCCAGATAACTTCAAGTATTTGTTACGATGGTTGTCCAGTTGTGAGGACTTTTGTTTGCTTCATGTTGAAGTGTGATCTGCACTGAAGGTTGTGATCTTTGAACTTCATCAATAAGTGTTTCAGGCTCTTTTCACATTCAGCAAGCAAGATTGTGTCATTTGCATATCACAGGTGGATACGTGTCTTCCTCCAATCCTGATGCTATGTTCTTCTTTGTATAGTTCAGTCTTAGATTATTTGTTCAGTTCACAGATTGAATAAATATGGTTATATCCTACAACCCTGACTCATATATTTCCTAATTTTAAATTTTGCAGTATCCTCTATTTTGACTGCTTCCTGTTCTATGGACAGGTTCAACTGCAAAGATTACAGAGAAGAAACCTGATAGAACGGTTCTAATCAATAACATGAAGTTCAAGTTGACTCCATGGCAGTGGATTTAGCTTCTCTGTTTTTTTCTACTCGGCAAGTAAGGGTGAGAAATCTCAGTTAAATGAATTCACACATGTGGCAGTCATGTAATCTAATGTCAATTTAAGGATTAGGAGTGTAGAGGTGGAGTCTAGGCTGTCAATCTGGATATAGCCAATGAGACTTCTGTGTGGGCATGACCTTCTCTTGAGAATTCTGGGAAATCTGGTACTTTCTCCTTGGAGGCAGAAGACACTTCTCTCTCTGACACTCCCTGGGAGACATTGCAGAAGACAAGCCACATAACTGCAATCAGACCTCTGAAACTGGAGAAGCCACAGAGAGACCCCTGCCAGTGCTGAGATGCTTACAACGCCACTGGACCCAGAGCCTTTCTGTCCACTGGTTTGTGATCGTCCTGCATTTGGCTTCATTGCATGTGTTTCGTGAGTCTGAAGAGGACTTTATAGACATGTGGGCTGATGTCGGACTCATGGCCTTGGATTGGACTGGGTTGGGATGTTTTCTCAATGTTCAATTCCTCTCGTATATAAAACTCTCTCTTAAACACATTTGTGTGTCCATAGACTTGTTTCTCTAGTTTACCCAGACTAATCTAAAAGCCTTGCATTTCTCTCTTTTTGTTCATGTCAATGAGAGAGTAGAAGATTTAGAAAGGAACCTTTTGGTTTCTTCCTCTTAGATAATTAACTAGAAAAATAAAATGAAAGATGCAGTCGTTTAAGATTACTTTTCTTTGGTCTTGTTATTGTAAAATATCAACTTTTTTTGTTTGTTTGTTTGTTTGATTGAAATAAATTTGTTTGTTTGATTGAAAGAAATGTAATCAAAGATTACATCTAAAATTTAATTTCTTTTGTTTTGTTGTTGTTACTCTTGGTATTTGTCATGTAAGAGCAGATCATGAGAACATGTCCGTTTATATAGACCATTATCAATGATAAAAACTATTAATATTCTTTCATTAAAAATGAATGTGATATGAATCCACCAAATGTTAGAATTATTGTCTTAAATAAATCAATGTAAATGTGATTAATATCCTCTTGACTGTATTTTTGCCTCTACCAAAGCTCATGAAGGAAATAGAATTATGGCTTTCCAGGTAATGTGCTGTATTTTAGAACTGTAAGTTGTTACCAATATATATACTCCATCCAAGGAAAACAAAGGATTGTGTCTCAAGTCACACTTTCTACTAAGGTAGATACTTAAAGATGACTCCAAGGAAAAATGATGTGGCTTGGTTCACACCTTGTACTAAGATAGGAACTCAAAGATGCTCCCAAAGAAACAAAGGGTGTGGTTTGGTTCATACTTTCTACTAAGGTAAGGATTTAAAGATACTCCCAAGGAAAAGGGTGTGATTTGGTTCACACTCTCTATGAAAGCCAGGATTTAAACCCACCCAAATCTTGGCAATTAGTATAGTAAATTAGTATAGTAAAAAAAACCCTCCAAAGTGGGATTATCATAACAGGAGTACAGAGTTCAGAATTATAATCACATAAGGAATTATGGTGAGAAGGGTCATGTTAATTTATTACAACTCATTCACTCTGCATATCACATTTAATTAATCACACCTGACCATAGTCCAGCTAAAAATATGATCCTTTCCACAATAGCACTCAATAACGACTTGTTTGTTTGCTGCTTATACAAAGCCACCTATGCTGATTAGGCAAGCAACTAATATTAAATTGGACTCTTATGAATTGAGAAGAAGGGAATCATGAATCTAACTTCACATACTCTTTCTACTCCCCCTCACCTGGTTCTAATCCCTTACCAACTGTGTTAGTTGAAGTTTATTGTGCCAACCTGGCTGATAAACACATAGGGGGTTAATTGAAGGGAGGAGAGAGAAATGGCTCGGTGAGCCTCGCCTTTCTTGTTATTGGGTCTCTTGCTTTCTGATGATCAGACAAGGGTGCAGCTGCCTTAGCCAGTTCCTGCTTTAGCTGCAAGACATCCCCGAGGAGAAGCTGCATGGACCTACTGCGATGCAGCACTGGGTCCTGGAGCAGCCGTGTGTAGTCCTTGCCAGCGCTGATATGCTTACACATTCACTGATTCAGCTTTCCTATGACAGTCTGTGTCATGGTGTGTGTTTTGTGAGATGGAGGAGGAATTTGTGGATTGGTATCGGACAGATGGGTTAATCTTGGCCATGTGGGCTTAGGGAGCACAGGGTTGGGATGTTTTTTTGATGTGCACTTAACCTTTATATAAAACTCTCTCCTATACATGAGTTTTTGTAGATTTGTTTCTCTAAAGTATCCAGACTAACATACCAACCATCCTTCTGCAATTATGATAAGAAGCAATCAACCTGAAAGCCTGAGTATATTACCAATTGTATTGGACTGGACAATCAATGCTCATGAAAGAAGCAGAGAATGAAGCAAACTGTGTATTATATTGGACAAATCTGTTGCATAAGACTTCTTCACCAAAAGTGATAAAGAACAAAGATATCAGTTTGAAGGTAAAGGGGAGGCTGACCCAAATCATGGTATTATCAATGACCTCATATGTGTATGCATGTGAAAGTTTCACAATGATAAAAGGAGACTGGGGAAGTTTTACTACATTTGAATTATGGTGTTAGGGTAATATATTGAAAGTCATGGGCACTGAGGGCAATGAATATACTAATGCGCTTTACACAATTGGTGTATGTATGGATTGTGATAAGAGTTGTGTGAGCCCCTAATAAAATGATTTTTAAAAAAGAATCAACAGACAATATAGCAGGCCACTGGCTGAAGTCCAAAGAACCAAAAGTTAGAGTAAGATGAAGGATCTAGACCCAGCAAAAAGCAAGCAAGCTTTTCCACAGTGTCTATTGCTGTTGGAAGAAGGCCACAGCCTCAAGGACATCTCATTATGAATGATTTACAAGATCTTAACTGCCAGAGCTTTGAGAATACTGAGACAGCCAAGTTGACACAAAACTTGTACTACCACAAACGGACTAATCAATAGATGGTTCCCCAGTTTATGAAGCACAGAAGGAGTGATGCATTGAGACAATAACTGTTGCAATGGTTTATCAGTGATGAAGTTGGGGAATTGGACAGCAGATAATAAAATTGGAATCAGGTGGGGGGAAAAAAAAAGAAAGTCATGGGCACTTCCAGAAGAACAAACATGCCTGTCATGGAAAAAATACAGCCAAAATGCTCCTTAAAAGCAAGGAGGGAATAACTTCATCTTATGTACGTTGGACACATTATCAAGAGAGAAAAAACCTCAGTGGAAAAAAAATGTTCAGCTAAAAAAAAAAAAAAAGATCCTGTAAAATAGAGACAGACACCGTGGCCACAACAATGAACTCAGACCAAACAACATGTGAGAAGGTGCAGGCCGGGCAGTGCTAGATTCTCCTGCACACATAGGAGCTCTGCATTTCCTGAGATTAGCAGTTTTCTGTTGTCAATAATTGCATAGTTGACCTGAAAAATATCTTTAGGCATCAATAATCATTTGAAAGACAGGTCATATTATTTTTCATCCAAGTCTGATTGGTTCAAGCATGATTTTTAACTAAAAACATCTTGAGTAAACTACCTAGAACATCATGAAGAGGCAATTTGTATTACACAATAACTATTTCATAACATAATCCAAGCAGATATGTAAATAACAGGTATTTTTAGCTAGTAAATAAAGCATGCTGCAAAAGCAGCCTTCAAACGTAAATGAGACATTACTCTCTCCTCCTGCATTTTCCTTGATTCCTGAATAGAAATGACTGAATTAAGAAACAGCCAGCAGGCAGAGCGACACAGGGGAAATGCTCTTTCCCTCTTGGGGAACTTTGGGGGCTTGTTTTGAATGGACCATTTGTTTCATCAGCTAATCCCTGAGCAGAGGGCATGTCCTTTCCACTTCCAGAATTCTCTTACATAATTTGAATCCCCTCCTTATCGGTTCAAGCCAATAAGTACTTTATTTTCCTGCTGCTTGTGGTCAAGAAAAAGGCGAAAACAACAATCAGCTCAGACTACTTGCTGGAGCTGTCTGTATTTTCAGCCCAGACTAAGCTCCACCACCAGCATGCTCTTCCGATATTTTGCACAAAAGGCTCAGTGTTCATGGCTCTAGTCAGCGGACCCAAAATAGCCTTCAGTGAGCTATGACATAGTGGGAATCTTGTGGTACCAGAAGCACAAGAATCTGTAGCAGGAACAGTGGCGTAGCTAACGTTTGTCAAGGAGCCTGTGAAGCACTACAACAGAATAAATAAAGAGCATTTCCTAGTCTACTCTCCTGTGTTTGGACATGCATGTTGAGTGTCCACTTACGCAGACCTCCTCTAGATCCTCAATCTACTCAGGTAAGAGAGAGGAAAGGGGCCCCATATTTGGAATTATAGCAACGATCTCTTAATGACTTTGTTGGGGGTGGGAAAGTATTTAGGAAACTGTTGCTGGTTTACACTTCAAACGTGATGATGTGTCTAAAACTTTTAAAGCTTGATATTTATACAGAAAATTTTGTAAGATGAGCCCAAATGAAAACTTCCATTCCATCTAAAGAACGCAGATTGAGAAACATGTGCTGCTTCATCCCTGGGAAGATTTTCAACTCACTTCCCTGGAAGGAAAGCCCCATGGCCACACTTTGTTTACTTTTCAAGATTTAATGTTTCAGTTTGTCTTGTATTCACTTCTGTACCATGAGGTTCTATAAACTGTGAAGTCTCGATATTACTTATGTGAGAAAGATATTTATGTTTGTCATTATACAATGGCATCAATTATTCATTTCTTAGTTACTGTTATCCAGTATGGAGCATTCTGCCTATCTGGACAATGAAAAATCCTTCTTTAGGGGGCAATTTATTTTCTGGGTGTCATGAAATTATTGCTTTCTTTCCCTTGGGCAGGTTCTGTTCTATGAAACTTTCTACTGTTATCCGAGAAATCTTAGGAAAAGTTTAAGTAGTTAATACCTCTGTACTAAATCTAATAAAAATACCTGCTATTTATATTTTTGAGCGTATCCATTATGTGTAACAAAAGGATATTTTATCATAAAATAAGTACATGAAAGTATACATCAAGAAAAATAGATATTGCTCAAGATATTTGATATTATTTTAACTGGTACTCAGGCATATTGAATTACTTAGTAATATAAAAAATTAAAAATAATTTATCCAAAGTAATTCAATATGTCCATATTTTGAATATTAAACAACAACAGCAAAATTAAGGATTTAGAAACAGGAAGTATTCTAAATATAATCACAGTGTAGTGTTCTAAGAGTAAGTTAGTACTCTGATTCTATCATTTCAAACTTGAATTTACATATCTATTGAGTAGACATTGTTTAGAAAAGTTTTTCAAATTTGGTAATATATTTATGTTTTAGATGTATTTACAATATCCAGTAACATGAAAATGGTATGAATATTTAAGATGATAAATTCTAAATATTTTGAGTGGAGTATTAATTATCATAAGGAGACTACTCATGTCCAGCATAGAGTGAAACTTTCTCGTAACCAATAAAAATCCTCGTAAAATGAATATACATTTTTAAGTCTCAAATTACTCATTTTTTTTTAAACTAGTTTGTGTTATCTAGCAAGTATTTGATTTCGTTCTTTACATATATTTGTAGTAGTGTTAGTGTAGTTAAAATATATGTAAGGAACAAGATTAAATACTAGCTAGATTAAACAAATTGGATATTTTTTAAAAACTCGAGTAATTTGAGACTTAAAAATGCGTGTTCATTTTAGGAGGACTTTTATTGGATATGAGAATGATCCCAAATGCTTGAGAGCATTGGGAAAGCTTTGTCTGAAGTTTGGAGTCTCATAGTCCAGTAAAAATATTTACTTTTCCCTGAAGGATGTATGTATACCTTGTTGTTTAAACAGACACACACATACTCACACTGTCTTTAAACTATATTGTATATACTTACTGATTTGGTTTTTGTTTGTCTTTTCCCCCTTTGGGGGATCTACCCAAAGTACTTACTGACAGGAAATGACTTCAATAATTCCGTTGGGTTATCAAAACTGAACATGCTTTCCAATTAAATGCATTAGTCTCCATGCAATTCTCAAAAGCAGACCCAATCTTTAGGAAAATTATCTCAATATAGTCATATATTACTTGATAAATAATTATTCACAGCTGAATAATTATAAATATTTTATCATATGAGCTTAACACACATATATGTGTATGTATGTGATTATATATATACATATACAAATTATGTTATACTCGAAGTGATACAGAGTATCATTTAGAATGTTATCCAGTAGTAATGAGCTAGCAATAAATCTTTAACACTGTTTAAAAGAAGGACCCAGTGAACTTTTACATCTTTCTTTAGATAGGAATCTATTGCCCCAAACTAGAATTTGACAACTATGCTGATGAATGAGAGGGATGGAATTTTTGTTTATTGTTGCTCTGATGATTTTCTATATCGCCTGTATTTTCACTTTGGAGTAATAGTGAAGGCTGAATTTTATTATAAAGATGGAACTTAATAACCTTGCACTACCCCCAAATTTTCCTCTGTTAATTATGCTGATGATAGCTCACAGTTTTAAAACATGAGCTTCTTTTGCCAAAGTAATCATAAACATAATTGAGCCTTTTGATAAATATACCTTTGTAGAGTTTGCTATCTACTCCCTCTACCATTGAATAACCAGAATCAAAATGTCAAACGTCAAAATGTCAGATAATCAAAATGTCAAAACCAAACCAAACAAAAACTTCCAGAATGCGTAAAAGCAAACCAAATACACTATCAAATGATGCATCACCTCCTGAAGGATGACATGGCCCCTTAATTGAAATTCGTGCTTCACTAATTAAAGCACTACATTTAGAAAGGGAAAACTGGTTTGGTTAGAATTTCATTTCATTGATTAAATTGAAAAACAAACAAACAAACCCAGAACACTTAAAGTACTCTGTAATATTAAAGAAAAAATATATAATATAGAGAAACCCTGCTTTGACATGTCGAGTCAAATTTGAAATGTTTTCATAGAATAGCAGCACATTAACATACAGGTACCTTCCCGCACATTTTATCTGGCACTTCATCATGAGAACTTACATGATGAATGATCTTTGTAAGTTTGCAAGATCTTCTATTAAAGTGGGTGTAATTTTTGGCACATCAGTCAAGGCTTAAAACAACCCAGGTGATTTTTTTCTATGTGCAAACTTTAGAAATGGCATTGCTGTGGAAATGAGAAAATTGGACATAAATCACAGGAAAAGGAATGCCATCATTTTTCCTGCTTTCAAGCTTGATGATAGATAAATTCCAGGGCGTTTGCTTTCTACTTCATTCTTAAAACCAGCTAGCAGGGAGCCCACCGCCTTCTCTGACAAAAAGATAATGCGACCAAATTCGGAGTGAAAGGTGAAATGTCAGTAGAATACTGAAAATCGTGAAGAGAAGGGAGGTACAGACCCACGTTGCTGTTGGACTTTTGAACACGGTGTGAAGCAAAAATGCCATGACAGTTCTAAAGTTGTTTTTCAACTGGTACAGCATAATCTAACCCTTTAACCTACACTGTCTGATGAAAAGCAAATGGGCTATAATAGCACTTCTTCATTGGCTATCGACCCCCTGTTTTAAATGATAATTTCATCTTTGGGGCTATGTGAGCCATTGTTTTCCTTTGTGTAAATAATCTAATGCTATTTCACTCAACACTTGTGTTGTGTTAACCAATGTCGCTATGCCAAAAATGTATTGACATCAGGATGCGACTTCAAGTAATTAGTTAATAATCAATAAAATATGTGTGCATATATAAATACTCATGCATCTATAAACATAAAAAGAAAGGAGTGCATATAAGCAATCTCATGCTTAAGCCATTATATCCCTAGGGCTCCTCATAACATATCAGGGAGCTAGATTTCATTATACACTTACATTAGATTTTTTGTCACTAATGATTGGAATCTACCATAAAATAACCCTTTTTTATTATTGAAATTAATTTGAACAAATGTTAGTATGGCACATGATATATTCTGTGTGATCATAATTTTGAATTTTCTGAACATACTGTGTATTTTTCAAATTTTAGGGATGTACAGAATAATAATAATAATGGTAGCAACAACAATAACAATGACTAAAATAATAAATCTTATGATGGAATGATAATGTTCAAGCATTATTATAATACATCTTACTAATCATAACTAAGTACTCAGTTACCCTCAATCCTTTGGCTTGCCAATTTTGATACACTCTACAATGCACCAGTTGTTTGTTTAATGTTCTCTCACAAGAAGTACTCAGATCTTCTCAGAAGTGAGATTAATAGACAGCAGGGTTAGACTCAAGAAACCTATTTTATTATACTCTCACCAATATTATTCAAATTTACCTTGTTTGTATGATAAAAATATGTAACTTCCCCACAGTAAACTTTGTCCTCTATAAACTGTGTTTTGTTTGATTTTTTTTTTTTTTAGTATTAGGTCAGTCAAAGCAGCATTTTATTTCAACTATATTTTTGTTATATTGTGTAGGAGGATAATGATGCCCCAGTTAAGAATGCATTTGAGATCATGCATGGGCTGTGATCCACAAGGTCAGCAGTTTCGAAAGCGCTAGCTGCTCAGAGGAAGAAGTGGGTGGGGGGTGGGGCTGGGGTTCTACTCCCATAACACATGGGTTACACCAGGGCCACCGATTCAGCTGTGGGGAAATGTGAGAGAGTCCATGTTAGTTGCCGTCAAGTCAGCTCCAGTACATAGTGACCTTGTGCACACCAGAATGAAGACTGCCCAGGCCTGCACCATCTTCACGATTGTTCCCACGATTGAGGTCATTGTTGCAGTGACAGTGTCATTCCATGCCCTTAGGGACTTCCTTTTTTTTCCCTGCCTCTCTACTTGACCAAGCATGAAGTCTTTCTCCAGGGACTGATTTCTCCTGGCAACTTTACCAAAGTCTGTAAGAGAAAGTCTCCGTCATCCTTGCCTCTAAGGAACTTTCTGGCTGTACTTCTCAGAGATCAGGTTGTCCTTGCAGTGGTCCATGGGACTTTCAATAGTCTTTTCCAGCACCACAATTCAAACACACCGATGCTCCTGTGGTCGTCCTTATTCACTGTCCAACTTTCACATGCATATGAAGCATTGGGACATGTCAAAACTTGGCTCAGGCACAGCCTAGTCCTCAGAGTAACATTCTTGCTTTTCAATACTGCAATGAAATCTTGTGAAGCAGATTGATTCAATGCAACATGTTAGGTATTCTACCTTATGCCTTTACAGTTACATTTTTTAATATGTGTTTTATAAAAAATGTATTTAATG